GGCAAGTTTGACTACATTCCTTTATAGGACAATGCAGTGTACTTTATATGGCCATATAGGGGAGAAAAAAAATGTGAAGATAACATTGAAAATATATGATTCCTATTGGTCAATTTTGACTACATTCCCTATGCAACGTACTGTATATGGGCTTATAGGGGAGAAACAAATACGATATGATTGAACAAATTTGATTCCTAAATGTAATTCCTGCCCAAGAACACAGCCATGCATTCAAAAATTGCGTACGTTTTGTGGGAATCCTAACCCTATTCCTAGCTTCTGTGTGTACTTTTGGCATAGGTTAGGGTCAAAACTTTCTTCAATCCAGTTTTCATAATATTCCACTGATCTGAGTCGAGAATATACTTCACTGAATCAAGATATTTGTCTGCAGTCACCTCACCAAACCCCCCAAAAAATTAAGGTACGTGCTACCTATATTATTTTCCCCATGCACTATAGCACTGGAGAATTTATATAGTTTAAAATATTAGAAAACAGTTTGATTTTTATTTTTGATAAGGATTTGCATCTCTGACTTTAATATTGATACTACAGTATACTGTCTTTTGAGTAGTCTAAAATGTATAGAGCATTGTCAATTCTTTCTTGGGATACCAAACAGGTTTATTCTCAGTTTCAGTGTGTTAAATATTTTTCAAACATACCTTCTATCTGCTAATATTACAATGAAGTCTTACATTCTTTTTGTTAATATCTATATAATAGGAAGACTGGTTGCTATTGCCTATATCTTACTGATTTAATTTTCCCATTCATCTGAATAATCTCAGGGGGACGGCTTCAACAGCTAAACTGTGCCGCATGCACCAGACTTCCACAACCCCATACTTTAAGATGTGCCCCTTGTTCTCAGTTTTAAGTGTACTCTCTCTTGCCTTCCAGCATATGTCTATGAATTAGCCTGATTGCTCTTTTTGAATGGATTAAAGAGGAGAAATTCATTGTTGTCAGAATGTACATCAAGTACTTTTTTTTTTTTACAATTTTAACAAACTTCTTTCATTTTAATTCTGAATAACCTGTTGTTTTATATTTTGGCTTTTTTATTTCTTTCTCAGATTGCTTAACCCATAAAGAGGACAATGATGAAACTGATTTTAAGAGTTCAAGTGAGTGATTTACTGTAGGTATGAGGCCTTTTGAAAAACACAAAAAATATTTGACAGTTAATATAAAACAAACAATACGTAGAATGTTGATTTTGAGTGCTCAACTGGTGAATGTCTCATTCATTTTGGTCTTATTGTCAGATGACATTCAGATTTCTGTGAGGATTCAACTGTACTGTAAACTGTAAAATTATGGAAGTTAACCTCATCAACACAGGCTAATTTACATTATTTTTAAGAGATATGCTGTGAAATTTTAAAATTATTAGTTGGAAGAAGATTGCAGTATTCACATTCACAATGATTTTTTGATTGATGTTCTATGTTATTCTACGTTCCCCTGATTTTGTTGCACTAGCAATATGTAAACAATGTCAAAATGGTATCAGACTGTAGTTTTTCAGGAATCTGAGAAAAGCATCTGCTGCAAAATGAACTATGGTATGATCAAGAGCAAATTATATCAAAATCTTCTTCTCAGCATGTATCTTTTCAAAACATGCATGAAATAAGTAATCTTTGGCTTTTCTTATTTACTATTTGTTTTTCATATTAAAACGTCACTACCAATTAAAGCAGAGCCTCACGATCAAAACATTTGATTTTGTGCCTGGAATAAAACTGTTGGTTTGTGGATTTCCTTAATATAATTTTCCCACTTTGTAGCATTTCAGAAATCTGTAAAAAAAAATTAAGATTTAAGTTCTGATTCTAGTAGATTTTATACTGTACATGCTTTAGTAGCTATATTGGCTATTTGCTATAAATACTGGCCAGTACATTGCATTCCCTGCTCATCAAGCTCTGTCCATGGGGCAGAGCATCAATCATGACAGGCATCACCATTCCCATGCTGTTTCCCTGGACAGTGAGCCACTATGAATTTGAAAGACTGGATAGCCATAAAGTATTACTTCAAGACATTTTTTCAACCATCCAGACATCGGGAAGCAAACTTCAGATGATGTCCCCTGTCAGCCACTTTCACAACCAGATTATCCATTTCCAAGACTCCTGCACTGATTCTGTAGCTTCCTGATCAGGACGCATTCACTGCATCCTGTTGAGACAACAAGGCACAGTTTCCAAGCACTCGGTCTGCAGGATAGAAAGTTCAGTACCATTAGGAACTTGAACTTGAACTTTATTGCCATATGTAACCGGTACTGGTACATTGAAATTCTTATTTACAGAAAGTCTCTCGATTGTAAAACAAGTGTAAAAAACAAAACAAAGTGTAAACAGTGCATCAAGACAATGTACAAACAAACAATAGACAATGTGCAAGTAAACATGTAGACAGTTTGAATGTAAGCAATACAGACATGTAAACAATGACTGGAGATGTGCAATAGATAAGAAATCATAAAGAGGTGAATGGTGATGTTGTAGGTGTGGGCCGAGGGGGATGGCTAAATGTGTTCGCCAGTCTCACTGCTTGTGGATAGAAGCTATTGAAGAATCTAGTGGTAAGTGTCCGTATGCTCTTATATCTCTTGCCTGAGGGCAGTGGGGTGAAGAGCTCATGCCCGGGGTGGTGACTGTCCTCTGTGAAGGCCAGAATTCTACCACGGCAGCGGAGTACACCCTTGGACAGCATCATCCACTGATCTGTTGTTCTGGTAGGTGAACTGCAAGGGGTCCAGGGACTCTGTGATGGAGGAGTTGATGTGTGACAACGCCAGCTTC